TTTTTTTAGAATACTCAAAAATGCGAGCTTGTGCCGCATTTCAAAGGGCGTATAACCTTGAGATTTTTGTGTTAATTTACAGCGGAATAAGGCCACCATTCTCTGAAGGCCATCTCTCCCAGTCGCACTCAATCAGTCATTTCAGTTTCGGACTTTTGAATATTCCCACAGTTGTGAAAGTACCCTTTTTTGAGCATTATCTACTAAATTTGGTTTTGGTCTGGTGTTTGTGTATTGAGGCAGATCCTCACAGAATAGAAAAGAACTGCGACAAAAATGAGCCAAAAAAAGGAAAAAAAGTGGTGAATTTCAGCAAAAATGTGAAATGTGCTAAGAAGGAAATGATAAATTCACGACCATTTTCTTAAGCAACTGAGAAATAATTTAAGCGAACGGGGCTCCAAAATGGAAAAAAGACGCCAAAGCTGCTGAGCATAGCTACGACCCGCAACATTTCACGAACTTCTTTCTCCAAGATTGGAAGGCAAAGGAGCACCAGTTTGGGAAGAAAGGAAGAGAACTGTAATCATACACATGGCATGATAAATCCTTGCCATCCAGCAATCAATCCAGTATTTGCAAACTATTTGGCGTTTACCTTGTTGAAACGTGCGGTCTTCACTTACAATGCAATCACCCCACAATTCAACACGATGTCAACGCCACAGCCGTGATTTCGCTTTCTAAAGCTTCAGCGAGAAGAAGTGGCTTACCGACATCGGCCTCAGCATCGACAGCTCCATCAACACAGTATTTGATCAGCTTCATCAGCGGACTGTGCAAGCCAGCTTTTCGGGGTATCACCAGGAACAAGGCAAGCTGACCACTCGCCAGAATCGAACCAATTCCGTTTGGTAGCTGAAAATTTCAATAGTATATTGGTGCACGGCGGTGCTTGAAAGTGAAAGGTTAGCGCCAGCAGATTTTGTCAAACTGTTGGCTTCCCTTGGATTTAAAAATTCTTCAGCATCAATACGTGAAAGCGAAACTTTCCTACAGTAAAATTTCAATCTGAGGAAACTGACGATTAGGTAGAAATCGTCCTTAAGCAGACCATAAATGCACCATTCGGATGAGACCAGGAAATTTGCAATACAAAGTGGCATGGGTAGCGTTCGCGTACAATGCTCCCTCAAAACATATTTCTGAAATTTCTAGTTTCACTTGAATCAGAGACACAATAGCACAGTAAAGTAGTGGGGACA